AACTTCAGCAGTGTTGACACGGCCATATATACCCAGTGCCTAAAGGCAACCGTTGGGGAGTGGACTAGCCCAGATGATAAAAATTACAAGTGTGTTGGATTTTCTTTCACTAATTTCGTACAAAATGTAGTTTCTAATGGTTCTTGAACTGTATCTACAACTAGAAAGCATAGCAAGAAGCGATAATTATTGAACACATTCCAAAGAAGTACCCTCCGAAAAGAGGTTTTAACTGGGTGTGGATGTCGGTTCTCCGGACTGCATTTTATTATTCTCTTAAATCTAGTCTATAAATATTATACATAAAGATAGTGAAAAAAAGTATGTAAGAAGTTGGCAATAAAAATTATGTAGCATTTCTATGGTCTCTAGTTTATAGACCTTGATAGAAAATGTATTGAAGTTGTTGATACGACGTGACTGAATAGGAAGTAGAAAGACACGTTAAAAAGTGGAGAAGTGTTTTATATGCAGCCTGGATTTTTAAGAATGTTACCCAAACGTAATCTGATTTTTTTAAGAAACATATACGAACGAAATGTTATGTTAAATATCATTTAATGTACTGGTAACGTGAAGGAATACACTTGTTCAAAGTTTCTTTTCCACTACTAATAACAGTTCTAGAGCCCTTCAATAAAACTACTGATCTTGGTCTCCGCCGACTTCTTTTGCTCACCATTTCGCCTCAGCCGACCGCTCCCATGTTAGTGTTTCTCATATATGAGAAAAAAAATGCAAACTACGTGAGGGGTGCTGCGATTGACAGCAGCAGCAGCTGTGTTGTTCAAAGATGTGTTTTACTAAATACGATTTAAGTTTGTAATATACGGTATTCGTTTCAGAAGTTTTGGTTTGAAACAGGAGAGTTGAAGGAGGCTTGCTTTTGAGCAGAGTTGGGGAAAGAGCACCCCCGTTCCATTTAAACTTTATTCCCGGGAATTAGGGTTTCTGATAAATGCACAATTCCTTTCAACCCCTAGGAATGCAGACATTTGGCCCACTTCCACCACTCTTGAAATGGCTCTACTGTTTCATTTTGTTCGTCTAACTTCGAAAGGTGCATAAGGCTCTTTATAATTACACTACATTTTGTTTCCGGAAAGAGCAGATCAAATCTGACTTTATCACACGCATGCACATCTTGAAAAATATGCAAAACGCGTTTCCAAAGCACCGATTCTAAAAACCAGAGCGGTGGTTGTCCAGCGTACTTGGTCGCACTTGGTAAATACACTGCAGACGTCGATGGCGCGATCAAGTGGGCGTCCAAAGGGAAACAGCGATGGTAAGAGAGTGATAGCACTGCCGTGTGGGGCTATCATTTTTCCAAGCAATCACGCGGGTTTTCGGCGTATGAACGCCGCCGGGTTTCGCCGGCACGGAGCACTAGCAGCTATCACCGCAAAAAAAAGTCACATCAAGCAAGATCAGGCGATAGGGAGGACGGAAAACCAGCGCCTTGTTTTTGTTTTTTGTTTTTTTTTTACTTTTTCTCTAAGAGCTTCAGCAATCTTCTCCACAGTGCGGGCCGTTTACGTCGCACGCTATCGCGCGTGCAAGGCACAGGTTTACGGAACACATGCATTTAAAACGTGTTTCCCGTAAAATTTAAAAATGAAACCGGCAGACAATTCTTGAAATCGACTGCTCATAGGTTACTCATACTTCGTTGTAGCTGAAATCCAAATGGAACCGACGCTACGAGCAAGTGGGACCAATCAAGCAGCGTCAAAAGCGCAAGTCACCGGGCATTTCATGTTTATGATTAGTTCAGCGATGATCGAACACGTGCAGAAACATGACGAGCACCAGGATGGAGCGCTTTAGACGCTGTCTGATTGGTGCCATCAGCTGCCTCTGTACTAAAGGTGAAACGAAGTGTAGCAAGTTCAACTAGCTTTGCTATCATAGAACCCTACTAAAAAATTTGGGGGTTGTACGTGCGAAACCAACGACGGGTATCTGGCACGCCCCAGCGGAGGACTGAGGATTAATTTCGACCACCTGGGGATCCTTTGACGTGCAACCGAAAGCTCGGTTACACGGCGCCTTCTCCGTAATAAGCCTCCGTCATAGAACCCTAGTGATTCCAATAATAAAGTTACGAATTTTGATAATTTTCGTCTGGCGAACAGGCAGCACTGCTCAAGTTAGTCCCACCATGGTGCCCATAAACGAAATGATTATCTTATTTAGTTGCGCGCACAATCATTCTATATATAGGCGCCCCCATGCTGGCCCAGCTCTCCCAGCACCTCCTTGACAGCAAAGCCTGCGCGTTACGTCACATGACGTCACGTCTGGGAGTTCGGCATGGGCGCTGATTGGATGCGAGTGCCGTGTCAGCGTTGGCGTGGGACTCCTTTCCTTTCATAGACCCACGCGAACTCTACGCGGCATCCAATTAGCGCCAGTGCCGGCCTCCCGGACGTGACGTCAAGTGACGTAACGCGCAGGCTTTGAAGCTGTCTAGGAGGTGCTGGCTCTCCTCGCCACAATACAATCGCACTCTTACACTACTCGGCTACTCCAACGGATACACTTGCTCTTGTCCATTTGACCTTTGATCTTCCGTCCTGCATGCAGGTGCGCGATGGTCGGGGGCGACGGTGAGTTTGTCCTTTCCAATGTCGTCGTCGTCGCTGGTCGCAAGGCGGTCGAAGTTTAAAAGTCCAACTTGTTACATCTTTTGACAACATCACTCTCACCGCTAATGCGCTCAGTGTCAAAGATTCCGACGAAGCGAGTGATGCCGAAGATGTCATCATTTCGAAACCGGGTGTTTAGAAGGTGGAAGGTAAACATGGAACAAAGTAGAAATTTGGGCTAGTTGGTTCATGATCAGTATATACAGCGCCAAAAAACGACAGGACAAAGACGAGAGTAAACAGGACGAGGCGCAATCGCAACTAAAGTTTATTTAGGAAAAAACACATAATATATAGGCCGTTAAAAATGCCTATTCATCCCATCAATCCAGAAGACCTCTTCATAAAGTCAAACTCTTTCCCTGAGAGGGCAAGGGAAGGCTCGCTAACGCATTCATCTCCCTTTGCTCTAATCTCAAACGCCTCGTGCACTTCTCGGCATATTTTATCTTTGTATTTCGCCAGAGCCTTCACATCATGCAGAACTGGTGAGCACGGGCAGCGACTACAATGAACAGCTAGATTGCCAGACGGGCTTGCTCTCATAGCTGACGCATGTTCCCGTGCACGATCATTGACACATCTGCCAGTCTGGCCGATGTACACGAAGCCGCAAGTCAGCGGAATTTCGTAAACCACTCCGACGGCACACTCAGCATATTTGGTTTTGTGTTTTGTGCCACAAATCACAAAACCAAATATGCTGAGTGTGCCGTCGGAGTGTTTTGTGTTTTGTGCCACAAAACACAAAACCAAATATGCTGAGTGTGCCGTCGGAGTGGTTTACGAAATTCCGCTGACTTGCGGCTCCGTGTACATCGGCCAGACTGGCAGATGTGTCAATGATCGTGCACGGGAACATGCGTCAGCTATGAGAGCAAGCCCGTCTGGCAATCTAGTTGTTCATTGTAGTCGCTGCCCGTGCTCACCAGTTCTGCATGATGTGAAGGTTCTGGCGAAATACAAAGATAAAATATGCCGAGAAGTGCACGAGGCGTTTGAGATTAGAGCAAAGGGAGATGAATGCGTTAGCGAGCCTTCCCTTGCCCTCTCAGGGAAAGAGTTTGATTTTATCAAGAGGTCTTCTGCATTGATGGGATGAATAGGCATTTTTAACGGCCTATATATTATGTGTTTTTTCCTAAATAAACTTTAGTTGCGAGTGCGCCTCGTCCTGTTTACTCTCGTCTTTGTCCTGTCGTTTTTTGGCGCTGTATATAGTGATCATGAACCAACTAGCCCAAATTTCTACTTTGCTGCAGTTCATTTCTTTTACAACGGGCTCTTCTTTATGTTCCCCCACCCACCATCAATCAGTGTACTTCTTAATCAACCTCATCGCCATTACGTGCTGCCGCTCAAGGATTTATGCCTATGCCATTCGGCACGGATGCTACCCAGATGACGTCAACGCTCTCTTCCATGGTGCACAGCCTTCCACCAGTCACGCCAAAAGAATTTGCCGAATTCTTCGATCCGAAGCATGTAAGCAGGTAGAAAGGTACATTCAGTGCCTTTGGGTCTGTTGCTATCAAAGGGGTGCAGCACGAGAACCGTCTGAGAGAGCCTACAGGGATCACCTGAGGACTGCCGCTCAATATACGGAATTCTTCTGGCAGCAGACGAGGCTGACGCTTCCGAAGAAGCAAAAACGAGGGGAACCACACTGTTAGCAAAAATAACACGCCCAGACGTGTAAACCGTTGTCCATAGCGGACACGTCGAAACGTGTTCGTTTTACACGAGGCCATCTGTGTTTTTCGTCTACAGATGAGGTGCTGTGTAAACGTAACACGCTAAACCGTGTCTGCCTTCTGCAAAACCGTTTCGAGCGTGTTCCTTATGAAACATGGCGGCCAGCGGCCGAAACAGGCGAGAGACGGGCCCAGCGAGCCGCGCGCCTTTCAGCCGAATTGAAAGCACACAGGGCGCGTTAGGGGGGGGGGGGTGTCGTGATATTGGGAAAGGCTGGGTTAGCTTTGCCAAAAGTGCAAGCGTTGTTCCGCCCTGGGATAGGAGGAGGGGAAAAGATGGGGCTTAGGTGAGTAGGGGGGGGGGAGGGGGGGGGGAAGGCAAAAGAAAACCAGCAGCATTCATGTCTCAGTGAGCCAGTAAGCGAGTCCGAACTGTGCTAGTGGCACTTAGCGGAAGAGCAGGAGGGGCGTCATAGTTGCTCTGCTAGACCGGTCTCTCGTAGGAAACCCAGTAGGAGGGACTGTATGATCCGCCTTCTATGCCTGGGACCTTCAGGGAAAACTACGTCTGATGCTGTCATTGGTCGGATGTGTTGTGAGGATAGGGCGGAGAGAAACGTCCTCCGAGCTTCCTCGTGAAGAGGGCAGCCCCAGACTATGTGAACCTCGTCCTCGGTGACCGCACACCGCTGACAGAGCGGAGTGTCTCTGCGTCCAAACCGGTGAGGAGCCTCCCTGTGTATGCGCTCCCTGTTCTAGGTCGGAAGAGCAGCGTCGCGTCGGACCGTTTTAACCCCTGGGTCAGGCAAGGTGGCCGCTTTGAGCTGCTCCAGGGGGAAAGATCCAAGAAGAAAGCCTGGATGGCTTGCTGGTAGCGCTTGGGATCAGAAGGCGCCCTTAGTGTAGGAGAGAGGTCGTGGGCACGTAAGGCTAAGCAGTCCACGATCTCGTTTCCGCGGAGGCCCACATGGGATGGGACCCACTGTAGCGAGATGGAGTGTCCATGTTCTTCAAGCTGGCGGACAACCCGTCTCACCTCGTTGGCAGTGGGGCATGGACCAGGTTTGCGTATGCGCTGAATTCCTCCACGTGAGTCCGTGAGGACAACGATTTGTTGTGGAGGCAGCGACTTCGTCGCAGTCAGGGCTTCCGCGATCGCCAGCAGCTCGGCGGTCGTGGACGACACCATGTGAGTAGTGCGGGCGCTCCAGTCTTTTTGTAAGTCCGGGATGTGGTAGGCTGCCGTGCTGCTTTGCCGAAACCTGTCCACCGAACCGTCCGTGTATATGTGTAGATGCCGAGGGTACCTTGCTGCTAGCTGTTCTTGTGCAGCTGCTTTGAGAACCAGAGGGGGCGTGTTGGCCTTCTTGCGGACGCCGGGTAGGAGTTCGGCTAACTGCAGGCCTGCCTCCCAAGGGGGTGTCGTGCCGTGCGGGTTGATTATCTGGGGGGGTTCCCATCCAAGTGCGGCAAGGGTCTTGGTGGCGAGGCTGAATTTGGATTGTGTTCGGGTCCTGAGCCTCTTGATCAGGGACTGGCCAGGATGAGTCTCCCCTAGACGAATGACTTGCAGCAAAAGGCGTTGGGAGGCTTGGAGGTGCAGAGGAAGCGACCGGGCCTCCTCATACACCCTCTGGTTTTTGGCGCTTCTGGGAACGCCTAGCGATGTTCTCAGGCCCGCACGGTGTAGCCGTTCGAGTTTGTCGGCCTGACTGGGGAGGAGGTCCATGTATGGTAAGCTATACATGAGTCGGCTCACCACCAAAGAAGAATGAAGGGTCAGCATGGATCGGGGAGAGTTGCCCCAGTTCTGCCCTCCGACCCGGCGCACAGCGTTCCGGGAAGAGATGGTGGAAGCCGTGACGGCCTTTATCTGGTCGTGCCACTTGCAGCGGTTCTGAAGAGTAATGCCGAGAAAGCGGTGCTTTGATACAAGGCGCAGGGGCTGGGAGTCCAGTTGGAGCTTGACCTCCCGCAACCGGCGGTTCCTTCCTGGGAAGACCATGGCTGCTGCCTTGTGACCGGAAATCGAAAGATCTTGGTTCTCGAGGAAGGCCTGGATCTTGTTTATGGCAGATTGCATTATGGCCCTCAAGGTCGGGTGTCGGAAGCCAGAGACCCAGATGCATAAGTCGTCCGCGTACATAGAAATGCCAATCGGGATCCTTCAGTTGGGAAGAGCGGCTGGGAGGCCCGCAACGGCGATGTTAAAGAGTAGAGGCGACAGGACGCTGCCCTGGGGTAGACCGCGTTGCACCGGTCTTGACTGGCTGAGTGTGTTGCTCAGTTTGACTTGGATTGATCTGTTTGAAAGGAAACCCTCTAGGAAGCCCTGAACTCTTCCCGTGATACCCCAAGAGGTTAGTTGGGCCAGGACTGATGCCGGTTCCACATTGTCGAATGCAGCCTGAATATCGAAGAATGCTGCCACGGTAGACTTACGGCTAGCTGCTGCATGCTGCACTGCACTGACAATGTCCAGGATACTGTCTTGTGCGGAGAGACGGGACCTGAACCCAGTTATATTTGACGGGAGTAGGTTGTGTTCCTCCAGCCACCAGATCAAGCGGGCGTGTACCAGCCGCTCGATGAGCTTGGCAACGCATGAGGTGAGGGACACCGGCCGGTAGGACGATAAGTCTCCTGCTGGTTTGCCACTCTTGAGTACGGGGACCACCCATGCCAGTCGCCAAACCGCTGGAAATTCTGATGAGGCCCAGATATCATTGAACGACGAAAGAAGTTCCTGTAAACGTGAATCTGGCAGGTTCTGTAACATTTGCGTCGTGACCCCGTCTGGTCCCGGTGCCCCTCGTCTCTTGGAGGCTCTCAGTGCGGATCTCAGTTCGGATTCCGTAAAAGAAGCATCCATGCAGAAAGGTGCTTTATCCGCATGGCAGCGCGGCTTTGGCTGGGAAACGGCCGCGGCATAGAGAGTAGCAAAGTCTTCGGCCAGGGCCGCTTGTAGCTTTCCCGTGCATAGGGCCAGAGAGGCGAATGGGAGGCTGTACATTCTTTTCCCGGACAGACTGTCCATAAGCCTCCAGATACGACGGGCTGGTGTGGTTGCATCCACCGAAGAGCAGATCAAATCCCACTGCCGCTTGAAGCATTTTTTGGCATAGCGCCGTAGGGCAGCGTCAATCCTGTTAAAGAGGGTCTTAAAAGTCACGCCACCCTTACGTTGCAGAAGTCTCTGGGCCCTCCGTCTTGCTGCACAAAGGTTTAGAAGGGTCAGGTCGGGTGCAGGGAAGGATGTCGGTACGGTTGCCTTGATTGTGGCTTCTTTCGCCACGTCGCTGATGGCCTCCAGGAGGGGTTGTGTAGATCGCCCTAGGTTGTCTCGGAACCGGTCCCAGTGAATGACGGAGACCTCGTGGACCCCAGGACGTTGTAGGCCTATGATGTCGATGAAGACTGGGAAGTGGTCACTGCCCATGGTGTCGGCTGCAACCCGCCAAGACAGTGGGATCTCCGGTGAATGAGCTGTGACGTCGATGGCACTGAAAGTGCAGGGTGGCCGGAAAAATGTCGGGGAGCCGTCGTTGGCCACAACAAGGTTGTGTTCTCAAAACTGTTCTGCCAGCATCCTGCCCCTTGCATCTTCTCTGGTGTCACCCCATAGAGCATGATGAGCGTTCCAGTCCCCACAGATCACAACCGGATCGGTGATCCTGGTGCGCAGGGAATTCACCAAGCCGGCGACCTCCGCAGCGCCCCCTCCTGGGCGGACATAAATTGAGATAATAGTGAGGCACCGCCCGGCGATCTCAGCACGCACCGCAACGAGGTCCCGGTTAACAGTGCAGAGGTCAGAGACATCCACGACATGGTGAGGGATAGCTTTTTGGATATAAATTGCAGCGCTGCCGTTTGGAAAGCTTGGTATGGACGGGTTTTTATAAGCAAAATATCCAGGGATGCTGCGATTTCCTGGGAGACCAGCTTCGCAAAGAGCTAAAATGGGTATCTTCCATTGTTGAAGGTAGAGGGACAACTCTGCCAGTCTGGTCAGCAGACCTGCACGGTTCCACTGTAGAGCCACAGGGGTCTGTCGTCGCCCTCTAGCAGGGGACTGATGCACTGAGGGAGGCATCAGCGGGGCTAAGGGTACCACTGCCAGTCGAGCTTCAGAGCAGCGCCCCTATGATGCCCTCGAGCGCTAGCACGCTTCAAGAAACTTACGGAACGAGGATGTTGGCAGGATGTGGATTAGGTCACGCACGGCGCCAAAGATCATGTTTACAATGGACTTGAAGGGATGCGGCGAGAAGGGGGCGGCGGCTTCCGTGTGGCCTGAAGATGGCGGCACAGGTGCGCCTTGTCAAGAAGCTTGGGTGTCGTGGCCTTTGGATGGTTTCGAGCTTTTGACAGTTTCTGCCCAGGTCTGTTTTACCGTGGTGCTGGAGGCTGAGAGGCTGGTGCCGGGAGTGGCATCGGTTTCTTGGCAGGTAGGGGATGACACCGCCGGTGCATGAGAGTCGGTCGGGGAAGGACGCGCGTCTTGGGGTGCATTCTTGTCTGAGGGGGTGCTACCCTGTTCACTGCGTGAATTCTTGTCTGACTTGGCTGACGAGGATTTGCGGAGTGCTTCGCGAGCATCCCGGAACGTTGCGTTGTTTTCTGAGCGGTAACGCGAGATGGCGACCTCTCGACGTCGGGTTGGGCAGGACGAGGACGTGGCCTCATGGCTCTGACGACAGTTTATGCACCATGGTTCGGGTGATTCGCACCCGCCGTCGTGTGAGGCGCCGCATCGTGCGCATGCCTGGGGACGATTGCAGACCGCGGATATATGGCCATAACGGAGGCACCGCCGACACTGCAGGGCTTTTACCTTGAAAGGCAGGACCGGAGTTCAAACTAGTCCGTAGTGGAGGGAGTCGGGCCGCGTTTTCCCGAGGAAGACAATCTTCACGAGATTAGACTTTTCCCCAAGTCGCCGCACGTCCCAGATCTTGACTGGAGCCCGTATCTGGTTCCGGATGTCAGCGTCGGAAAGGCCGAGTTCCACGTCCCTGATAAGCCCGATGCAGGTGTTCGGGGGACTGGGGAGGAATGCTCGGACAGGAGTGGTGCAGAGTACCTTGAGGTCCAGGAGTACTCCCTTGAGCTTGGGTGTCCGTGCTTCGACCGCGATTAAGTTCCTTGCCTTGTTGACGCGGACTTCTTTGACGGCACCTGGCGCAGCGCATTCGACGTATTCTGTAAGCTTGGATGGACTGAGCGACGCAACCGAGTCGGAGTTGGTGGGGGCGAACAAGACGGTGAACCCCTCTTCAAGTAGCCTGTGACTAGTAGTCCCGGACGTGCCCGAGCCGCCACTTTTCCGTCGGCGCTTTTTGCCTCGCGATTCGGTCCAGTCTTGGGACCCTTCAGAGTCGTCCATATCGGAGAAGCCTTCCTTGAAGGTAGAGTCGTCCTCCGAAGATTCGGCTACCTCATGAGCTTGTCGGGGAGACGGGCGAGTCCCCGACGGCATGTGCTCCGGCTCCAGGTGGTAGGTGGGCCTGTCAACTTGGGATGAAGGTTGGCCAGCAGACATTCCGTCGTCGGCAAGGGGCTGAGGTTGGCTCTGCACGAGCCCCCCGCGGCGCTTGCTTGCGGTAGACCGGGCGATGTTCGGCGTCTCCCAGAAGGCCCCAGAAAAGAGGCTGAAGTCCAACGCTCCTACCGGCGAGGTTTTCGGCGTTAGATGTGACAGCAGGAACAACACAGCGTGCTTCGACACGACAGCGAACGCAGCTCAGCAGCAACCCCGGGCGCGTTAGTTCTCGTTCGATGTCTTTCATACACAGTACAGTCTCTAAGCGGCGGACGTATCTACCTGCAAAAATACGTACGTGCGTTGTCGGCGGTCGGCGGCGTCGGTAGCTTCAACAAACCGCTAAACAAAAAAAAAATAAAATAAAACGAATGCCGAACTTACATGTGTAAATAACTTGAGCAAACTATTACAAACCGGGCGGTAACTTGCGCCACCTATCGAGATTTCTAGCAGCCTGTTTTTAAAAAAAATACGAGTCTGTTAACACTGCGAACGACCACGACTACACAGCAATCCTACATACAACGGAGGCAACACAGCACACAGCTACACAGCACCGACATGTACACAAACACAACAACCGACACTACGCCCGACACTTCCTACTCCATATCCATTTCTCCCCGCGGCGCATATAAGCTTGACATGTGCGGGTGAGCTCTTTGGTCGCTGACCATTACAGATTTATAGAAGAATACACGAAACACGGCGCAATGGACAGCCGTGTGTTAGAACTGTTTGCATTTAAAAAGTATGGAGGCAAAATCTATAATGTTAGTCCGTTGCAATAAATAACGATATGTTAACAATAAATCTTAAACCGGTCATGAAAAAGTTCAAATTTTTGTTATTTTCTTGCTTGACCAGTGTTATGAGCAGTCCGACTAGCTTGAATCAGATAGGAAAACAAATTATTGGGCTTTTGTCATTACGTATACAATAATAAATGAAAATGATCCTTGCGCAAAGCATTTTTGATATATTTTTGTGAAGGACATACGGACATCCGCCCAACACTTCACTTCCGCTAGTTGCAGCAGTTGCAGTACGGGAGAAGACGCCTTCACTTTTGGGGCGTTTTGATGCAGTTTGTTGTGGTATGTCGTGTCGGTGTCGAGAAGAGCGGTGGGGCTTGGGAGTTTGTGACCGGTGTTATTCGTGAACATTGGTGTGGGGCGCTGATGCGTCTTTTTTTATACTGCCACCACCCCGAACTTTGAAGATACACGGGCCCGTAGCAGTGCATTATGCTGAATCGCGAGCTCCTTCTCTGTTGACGTCGCTTTCCTGGTACCACTCGTGGATACTGCAAGCGTTCAAACAGTGTGCACCGTCTCGCCTACATCCCCGTTGACATACTCGACCTGTTGAAACTTATTGCTTCCGTCATTTTAGAGTACGCAAGGCAGTTATCTCGTTGGTCTGGTTTCGGTTATAAAAGCAAGGCAAAACGCTCGTAGTTCCCGCCCTCAGTACACGTTGGACATCTTCCACACTTTGACACCGGATAACTGAATGAACGAGGATTTACATTC